TGATACATTAGCATTATAGGTTGATAAGCTAGTGTCTGTTATGTTAGATACTTGCACATATTAAAGAAAGCCTAGAGTAAAATTTCTAATTGCCTACCCTAAACGTTATTGTCAAAATGTTCTGCTCTCACCCCCTGCCTAGCTGCAGTAAATGGAAAAGGAGGTCTCAGAAGTAGATAGTGACTTGCCTCATGCAGTCCAATCTTGAATTTTATAGTTAGAACCTAGATCACCTAGACAGAGACTGTTTGGTTTTGGTCCCAGGAATAATTGAAAAATAAGTTAACAACAAAGATACATTTTTAAAGATTTGCCTATTTAGACCTTCTTCACTGTGACCAGCCCAGCTCAACCTGTTATTAGATCATCCAATTGAGGATGCATACTCTTTGTGGATTTATAGCCCCATGAGGCATTTCTTTACTTATATTTTAATTTCACTTTGTTTGAAGTAAATTATACTTTATACTTCATTTGAAGTAGGATAATAGCCATCAAAATAGTCTATCAGTTATCCACATCTGAAATACTTTTTTTCTAGATAATTACATGACATTATCTCGTTTAATTGATCTCCTAAGAAGATGTGGGAAACTTGAAGATGTTCCAAGATTTTTCTTAATGGCTGAGAAACATAACTCTAGAGCAAAATTTGAGCCAGGATTTCACTACTGTAAAGGACTGTATCTTTGGTAAATATATTGGCAAATAAATCCTATGTAATGTTGTTTCATTTTCTCATTACGGATAAAGTAGAATAAACTTTTTTTGTATTAAAAACATCTACATTTTAAATATGTTAATAGTTTTATTTACCATATAGTTTATAAACCACTCAAAGTTTATAGTCAGTGATTGAAGTAAGTGATTTTTTTTTTTAACATCTAACTAGGTATACCGGCGAACCAAACGATGCCCTTCGGCATTTTAATAAAGCTCGGAAAGATGGCGACTGGGGCCAGAATGCCCTTTATAACATGGTAGAAATCTGTTTGAATCCAGATAATGAAACTGTTGGAGGTGAAGTATTTGAAAACCTGGATGGAGACCTGGGGTGAGTAGTGCTAAATGCATTATCCTTTTCTGTCTGTTGGTTTGTAAAACTTGTTTGGG